TATATATATATGCGCGCTCGCGCTTAATTAAGGAGTCATTTAGTTCTTTTCTTTTCTTCATGTTATATTGCTTTTGTCAAAAAATAAAATATATTTGATCCTTTAGTTTTTAAATTATTCATGCGTTGGAGATAACAGTTGCCAACAGGAGCAGAGATGGGAGCAGAGATGGTGGTCGAGAAACCAATGGGGCCGATCATTTTATTTATTTATTTATCATTGCAATTAAAATTGTTGAGAGTATAAATTTATAATGTAAACCTGGCCGAACACTTAATGGCCCAAATGCAGAACCCATAACACACAACTTTAGTTAGCCCACTTAGTTAAGCCCATATTTGCCATTAATCTCTAAATGATATTGAGGTGGTCCGTGTTCCTAGTGTAAGTTGCTTTCTTTCTCTGGTCTGGCTAGGGTCGTGGTTGCTCTGCTCTGCGCTGCACCGATGCAGTCCTTGAACTTTCGCCTCTTTCGGTTCTCCGTGTCAAAGTTCCGACCTTTCTCCTCCTCGAAAGGCAGATCGACGCAGCCGGCGAAACCCACCGGCTCTTTCGGAGAAGAAGAATGGAACGACGCGTGGGAAACTGCGTGGCTCCCTGACGACCTCTCGGCCAGGGATCGCGCTCCGTGGGAGACCGACGTCAACTTCCCCTACTCCTCACCCACAATCTCCGCCGGGGAAATCGACGCAGATACCAAGGCATTTGTCGCGGAGATGGATGATCGTTGGAGTGAGAGGAGGGCGGCCAAGAAGCAGCAGCAGGAGGAGGGCAGGCATTTCGTCGAGCTGGTGGAGGGCAAGGAGCGGAAGATCGAACTTGGCGATTATAGGGTGAGGAAGCAGCGGATTCATTCTGGTCTATGGATGAAGGAGATTGAGAAGATGGAGGAGTCCAAACTTGGAGGTTCCAACGACGGCGATGACATCGATCGCCTTCTTGATTCTTGTGCTGAGTGAGTGCCGATTCAGTTCTCAATTTCCAGGTTTTCATTCTGGTTTCTAATCATGGTTGTTTAAATTTATACAAATGCGACTAGTATGGGATAATGGGTTGCTAAAGCTAGTAGCCCAACTCGTCAAGTGAAGTCTTTCAAACTTCAATTCTACTCGCTAGAATTTGACAAGAGGAAAAATAGTCAGTTAGCGGCTTCAGCTGACTCGCCCTTACCGAGAATCAAAATATACACTCTACAATAAGCCAGTTAATTAAGCTCACTAATTTTACAGCAATTAGTTGTTAGTCGTCCTATATAATTTAAAATATATTGTTTAGGTGTTGCTTTCTCTGTAATGTTGTGACTTGCCTCTGTTCTCACCCTTATACAAGTTTGAACCCAGAGCTAGCTAAATATTTTCCTTCAGCATTGAAAAGATTGGCGGAAACCTCATACAAGTAATAGGTTTTGACCTCAAGCATCCAAAACATACTCCCGAACCACTCAGCATTCCAAAACCTTCCTTTATGTGTTCATCCTTCTTGCAAAGTTATCATCTTGTGTAACCCTGATTCCACCGCATTGTATTTTAAAGATGTGAGTTATAAAATCCTTGAGATTGTCATTCTAGTGTTTGCAAACCTAAATTTTTGAAGCTGGAGACCTGCAAAATCGATGGTAGATAATATCTATGCTTTTACAATATAATTGTTGTTAGGCGGTGTGAATTAAGCGGGATTAGATTTAGGCTGGACACGGTCGGAATCAAACTCCTTTTACAATCCAAGTGTTCAAGTCTATGGTTAAGGGACAACCACTTGATATTTTACAATAATCTATGTGAAACTATACTCAAAGCTTAATATCTCTTAACAGTAGTTTAATTAGTTTATTAATAAGGGGGACTATATTCTGTCGGTTTTTTGTGATTTCTTTGGTTATTTGACTTGGCTTGCTGGATCTTAATCGAATGTTACTGAGGAACTGTTCCTCCTAATTGTTTAGAGACTGCTATTTGTTATGCTTTGGTTTGAGTTTTATCCAATTGACTTGCATTAGCAAAAGGCTTCTATCAGTCAACAAATAACATTTCTCTACCTTTACCTCATATTCACTGGTATACTACAAGAGTTGAACTTTTTGATTCAGACATTTGGGCAAAGTGTCTACTATACTGAACCATTTTGCTCAAACCAAATGGTTTTTTCTCCTCAACTTCCATTCTACAGATATTGAGTGTTATTACTCGGAACCCATGCAATAAAAAAATGCTTAACATGGAGAATGGGGTTTTTAGTAATCAAGAACAGCTGTCTTCTATATTCTTTTAGTTCCCTGTTGGAGTGGTAGGTTTGTTTGAGAGCAATACTTATGCAATAACTGAAAAGTTAGCCTACTTCAGCTACTTAGGGAAATTAATGGGATGCTAACAGTGTCAACTTTTAAACCTCTGCTGGTTGTTCTTTTTTAATTTGTTCGATTGTTACTCGCTAACATAGTTTGTTGTTTACGAAAAAATAAAATGATCCGGCAGTTCGCTGATATGGTATGCAATTCACAACATTGTTTTGAAGTTTTCTTCTTTTGATTCTCTTTTTGGGGTAGATGCTGCTATATGTAATCCTTTTATTAAATTTTTATTGTAATTCAGAATATTTGATGCTGGCAATATTAATTTAAATAACTCCAAGATCCCTAGCACTTCTGAGTTCAAAACCAAGCCTGATGGATGGGAATCAACCACCAAGGCTCAAGATGGGAGCATATGGGATATATCACAAAGGGAAGAGGACATACTACTCCAAGAGTTCGAGCGGCGGATGGCTTTCAACAAATTTCAGGTCTAGCATAAATCCTCCCCCTCCCCCCACTCCCCCCCCCCCTCTCTCTCTCTCTCTCTCTCTCTCTCTCTCTCTCTCTCTGTATCTATCTATCGATAGACGACGATCACATGACAAATAAAATAACTTTCTAATGCCATGAAATGTAAAAGTTATGAGTGGAACTTTTCTTGGCTTTGTTACTTTTTTTACAAGATAAACTCCAAGTGGGTAACTTAAGATAGTTGTCATTATTTTTTATGTGCAGATTGCTAGTTTCATCAAAACTCACATATTCAGCCGAAGGAGGCCGATAGATGGCTGGAAATACATGATAGAAGTGATCGGCCCTAATGCGAGGAGAGGGAAAGGAAGTGTGCAGAGGCTTCCTGGTCTGACCGATTCATCTACACTCCCTTTCCAGGAGGAAAAGCCACTTCTTGGCAATAATTCAACTTACTTCACTAATAGATGATGGTTATTGTTTGTGCACCAGCTCCAGTTTGTGGTCAGAATCCTATTATCTACTTAACAAAGGGGAGAGAACAAGTTTTGATAACAATCACTGTGACTTCATCGTGTGATTTTGAAAGTCATGAATTGGGTTCATGGAATTAATATATCTGTAATTTATGATTAGGATTGTATAAATCTCCTCTCGGTATATGTTGGAGCCTTGTGGATTTTTGTGGAGAGCTGCCTATTTCAGATTTAGCGAAAGTTTGTTCTTACTGCTGCCTACTCAACTGTTTCCGTTGGTTGTTTTATATCTACTAGTTGTAGGGGTGAAGATGAATATTGTACTGAATCTAATTTCCAAAATTTATACTTCATGGTTTCAAGTGAATTAGCACTTTGTAACTGTTTCATATTATTTATTCATTTAGATCTCATTTACATTTGTTTTTCATTCATTTAAATTGATTGAACATGTTTGAATAACAATTTAAGAAAATTTTGAGAATATTTTTTGAATATGGATATCATTTACATTTGTTTCCAGCAGAAAACTAACTAAAAATTAATTACAATTTTAATTAACGAGTTTAATTATGATTTATCTCTTACTGTTCTAGCACAGATATTAACTGAAAACACTATCCGTGAGTAACATAAAACCCGACGATCATAAATGAGCAAGAAAAGTTGTGTTAAATTAATAATTAAGGGGTGTGACAGATATTCCTCAGCTGAGGAAAGAAATTGAATATGATTCAAATCCCTTTCTTGACAAGCGTGATTAAGGGACAAAAAGGAAAGAATAAAAAGAAAATATGCTTCAAAAGTTTATGAACTTCCAAGCTGATCGCTCTGAATCATCAAAAAATTTTGGAAACTTAAGAAAAATTACCCACTCAAAACGTAAACAAAAGACCCATCAAAGTTCACCAAAGATGATCAACATCATAAAGCTCCCTCCTTGTTGCACAGCACATAAAAACAAGCAAGCTATGTGATTGCCAGCTCATCTACTTGCACATATATACATGGAAAAGTAGAAACAAAAGAACTGAGAATGACCTTTTAGCCCAACGTGAAAACTTTTATGTACAAACAACACTGAAGAACAAAAAAAAAAAAAAAAAAAAAAACAGCGCTCCTATTTCCAGTATCTGTAATCCTCATCAAAGATCGAAAAGCTGCTGTCGCTCCAGAACTTTGGTTCATTGTCAGTCCAAACCTCATCATAGATTGCATGGCTCTGGTAGTCCTCTAACTTGGATGCTCTTTCTTCCTTCTCCAAATTAAATGACACATGCTTCTTCTTCTTCTTTAATTTTGCAATTTTTTCAGCCCCCATAACATCATACTTCTTGCCTTTTGCACCCTTGCCAGTGTTCTCATCGGATGCCCTGCGAGCCTGCAACAGAGTTAAAATGAAACATGCTGTGAAGTTGTTTGGCATGGTAACTCGTTTTTAGCTTATAAGGAGTGAGTTTTAGCTAACCTAGTGATGGAAGTCTGTATGTTTATCTCAGTTGCATCACACTTGGAACATGCCCATGATGTTGATCTCAAAAAAATCATGAGTTTTAAGCTTTCTAATTTCGATTAGTTATTTAAAACAATAAGATAGCTACATAAGAAATGAAAAGAGTTGCAGATTCATGTACTAAGGGAAAACATGCGCCATGGATTGCTCTCTCTTCCCATCAACCAAGATAAAAAATTTTGAATAACAAATTTAAATTTCAAATTCTATACATTCAGTAATTTTCAATTATTTTATGGGTATTTTTTTGTATAAATGCTCAATAAAAGAATGGACAAACTAAACTTTCCAAACATTATATTTCTAAATAATATCAAAGAAAGGTTAAGAGTTCCTTAGAGCCTGTAATTTGTAACTCTGTCATAATTGTTCTTGTCATGTTTGATTTTTTTTATTTCCTTTTGAAATATCAATCATAAATGATGAACACCGCACAAAAAATATATTCAAATGCCACATAGCTCATATCCTTTTATTGGAAGAAGCTACTTGAATTAGTTTCAACTTGTGAAGATCTTCTGAAAATAAAGAAAAAAAATCCATCATCTTGTTCATCTTCGTGATTTGAAAGAATGGATGAAGCAAATTCCATGATTATGTCATGGTCATGGAACAAAAAAATGCCTGAAATTAGCGGACTATACTTATTTCTAACAACTCAAAGAAATTTAAGAAACTATCAAATTGCTTATTCAAAAGCTAAAAACATCGCTCTTATCTCAGTTTGCTCCTCCCACCAACCAAGATAAAACATTAGTAATTTATCATTACTTTATAAGTAATTTTGTATATAAAATAAGCTATTTAGATATTTCTATTTTTATATATTAGTTTATATGATTTGGCATAGGATCATACCAGCATCGCTCAGAATAAAGTTCCGGTTATACATTAGTGCATAAATTATTATTCCGAGAAGTGAATCATCTGATTGAAGAAGATAATGTGTCTTGATGAGTTGCTGCCTCTACAAGTTTACTATTTCAACATGTTGAATTGCTAATACCTCTATTTTTTGTTTGCGGAATCTAAACATTTCCACAGGTGGTTGAGTTGTGCCATTTGTAGCTACAAGTGAGAAGCATTCTATCAACAATGGAATGGACTGACACTTGCAATCTGCTATTATAACACTCTATAAGAACTAAATGTATGTTTAGTGTATTTTTTATATGTTTTATTTTTTATTTTAAAAATACTCAAAACATCTAAAACTTATTTTGAGTGTCCTTAAAAATAACTCACGGACCCCTAAGTTGTTGCACGAGAATTTTCAATTCATATGTTTTGGGTTATTGTTGCTATTTGTGATCTTAGAAGGGGAGAAAATTGATACACGCAATGTTTAATAGGATTTAAAATTTTAACTGAAACCAACTTGAACTTGAATATGATTGGTCTTGTAACAAACTTTTATACTAATTTAGAGATGAGTCGTTTATAGATAGATGAGCTGAGACATGTAATAATATTGCTTTGATTCAATAATAACTTCTTTCAATTTTCAATCTCATGCGTGCAAGTTCAATGCATGATTTCATCGAGTGCAGTATAAGCGTGACTACTTCATTCTATCAAAAATCATCTCCCTATACAGACACGATACCTATGTTACTTTCACAAATCACTTCCAGAACCTAATTTTTTCTGCATATTCTATTTTTGGTTTGCTAGTGTTTCCGAATTTATTCTAATTTAATATAATTGGGGTTCTGATTGTGGAAAATAAATTCAATTGCTCATTGATTTTGTTTGTTGGGTTCCATTTTACTAGTTTGCATCCAAAGAAAGTTTTTGCATATTTTGCTGTCAGTAATGGGTAAATCCTAAGTTACTTGTGTGATAAAGCAACATTATATCCTTCTGGCAAATTTAGAAAAGCAAGACCTTACCATCCATCCTCATTTCACATACAAAGATTGTTATTAGAAGAGGAAAATTAGCAATTAATTATGCACACCTTGTTTATCAGCTTTTCAAAGGCATCAGGTCCATTTTCTTCAATAAATCTCTCTGCTGCAAAAAGAACATCATCCGGCTCACTAAAAATGTTATTCTTAGGTGGTACATACCAGATGTTTACAGTCGGCTTTTGCAAAAAAATGGCTCGCACATAATGCTGGTAAACATAAGCAGCACCACTGAAGTAAGGAAACACCAACCAGCAGCTGAAAATCAGCTTAGCATAAGGCCAGAAAGGTAGCCTGCATCAAAATGTTAATGTAGCAACCACAGATCAGGCAAATTATAACCAGGAAAAGTAGTTTAAACAATTAAAACCTAGTGCGCAATTGGTTTATGTACACCGATGATCTATATAACAACACACGGTTTAAAGGGGCAAAAAGAATTTTATTTTGGTAGGCCAAAGCACTCTTATATTTCAGTCAGCAATCAGGATGACAGAATGGAAGCAAATGTTAGCAAAGTTTCGATTTGGACTCCGATAAGATGAAGATAAAAAACCGAGAGTAAAAGTTACCATTCAATTAGCTTTGCAAAAGTAAGCTCAAACAAAGTTAACAGAGAATGCAGCACCCAGTAGGTGAGCCACTGCTGATCATCAACAGTAGATTTTGTCTCTATGGCTTTTACTGAAGCATACCTGTACAATTCATACGAGACTGAATAGAAACCCTTATTAAGTGAAAAGAAAAAAAGAAAAAAAAAAGAAAATCATCTTACAGTGGATAAACAAGTGTAACAAAAGGCCTGCATAAAACACAACAGAATAAGCACAAAAAATTATGAAAGAAAATGAAGCCTAGTAAGATATAATCAAAGGCTTAGAATTAATAAATGCGATTGGATTTCTATCAATCACTTTTAGGAGTCATGTTAATTATGCTAACTGAGAAAAAGGCCACGCTTGTGAAAATTTGACCATTCATTTGTTTGTTTTGCTGTTATGGAGTATCAATGATGATGGTTTAAAATGAAGCATCCATCTTACAGGAAAATAAACAACTTGGCAGAAAAAAAAAAAGAGTATAAGAAACACACATAGCACATAATTTAGCATTCATTTGTAATAGAATACGAAGAATGGCAGTTGGACATCAAAGATAAAATGGCGAAAATAATATATATAAATGTTTTTTTTGCATTGGAAGATGAGGATAATAAACAGAAATACGCACATTGTATTTTTTTAAATATTTCCCCTGTTGAAAACAGAGAGCCACATGGATGAACAGCATGCTCTACGTGAATTCTCAATTTCGATTCACAATAACCACCAATGCTCATGGACCTCCTTTTTTGCTAAAATAAGTTTAAGAAAGCGTCTAGATTGACGTGATTAAGCTCCGGTATAGCTCAATTTAAATCACAAGTATGCTCATTAATCCAATTCATTAAAGCAAGAACTTGCCCTGCAGTAATTATTTTCATGGGTACACCCATCATCATCATTTCAATAAAATAATAACTAATAAATTTAGATTAAAACTAATCAAACACACTGGTTTAATAATTAAATATCTACGGAAAAAAATAAACACTGCATTGAGGGCTTGAAGTTTGCCTTCATTTTACCCTTTCAGACCCGAGTTATTGCGCTAAATAGAGACTTATCTCAATGACTCAAGCGGAGGGAACACGAGAACTTTTAACACTTAGAACTTAAATATTTTCTCTCCATAGGAGCACTCCATGAAAATAATCAAGTCTTTTCTTGGCTTTTACATACATTAAGTATTGGTGCTGGGACACTGTATGTCCTGCTTTTATGTGGCTTCAGTCTGGCTGCTAAATGATTTACTTAACACCCAGCTACCTCCAGTTACAGGGCATATTCATAAACAAGTATTAGCGCTGCGATAATATATTTCCTGGTTATATGCGGCTTCAGACTAGTCAATAAATGCTTTCTCAATTTTCGTGAAATAATTTTACCTGTGGCACTTATCAGAATGTAATAGTTTTCAGTTTTCTTAGGCAAATTTTTCGAATAGCGCCTGAGACTACATAACTACATCTATTTGTAATGCAAACCACCCAGATCTCGAAAAGCACAACAAAAAATTTTAACATATAATTTTTACATTCACCAAGGATCTGTTTGGGACAGCTGCAACTTATTAAAAAACTGCGGCTGCACAGAAAATAGATGTGCCAGAAGCTACTGCGCAAAAGATGTTGCGGAGAAGCTAGGCTGTCTGTTCCTATTTTGTAGTTTTGCAACAGTTGTGCTGCAACTATTTTTGAACAAATTATATTTCAGCCCTCGTAGTACAATGTTGTTTATAACAAAATCAATCTTGCTAACACATTTCATATTTGAAAACAAATACTCAGTTTGAATGTTACAAAAAAAGAACACACCTCACAAAAAAAAATAATACGCCAATCAAATTAAAAAAAATGACTATGAAAATAATAATTAATAGTATAATAATATTATTTTTAAAATGCAGTAGGTCAATGTCACGAGATAATCCATCATCCAATGATACTCTCCGCTCTTGATCACTGTCGGCTGTGGAATCCTCGAACCAATATGCTCATCTAAATAAGTCACAGTTTTATGTTATTCTCATTGGACAACTGTTAAACTATCTCTCATAGCTATGTAGCTGTCGCAAAGTAAGCAAGAAACATCATAATTCACAGTAACAGTACAAAGCTCTGGAGATACCGGAAGTCCTCAAACTCAACTTTTTTGAAGATTTAAAACCACAAAACATAAACCCTTGGATGCAACACTAGTGATAAAAAAATATAGTAGAAATACTCTATTCAAATTTTATAAAACCATGAGAACTCAGAGAACATAATATAAACAACAAATTTGTCACCTCAATAGACATTGCTAGCTTTTTCAAAATCAGAAATGTGATATTTAATATTAGAAAATGGTTTGAGAAACCTTTGTAAAGGGTATCCAACATCGACCAGATAACATTTATCTGAAATAAATATAATATGCATCGAAAATATATTCTCATTTGTTCAAACTCAAACAAACCTAGAGGTGGTCGTGGAAAGCTGTATTTGTGAGTTTTTATGCAAATTTGAATAGATAACTGTCGTGTGTGAATCTTCCCAACTGATCATCACATGTAGCCATGGCATTTTGTGTTGGTAATCTGCATCGCCCGAAAAATGTAACATTCTCATTATTTGACACACATGCATCCATGTGTGTTTCATCGATCGCTCTAATACAATCCTAAATCATTTAACAAGGGTGTGAATTATTATGTTCATTTGAATTCAAGAAAATATGAATGAATTTAATCACATTAAAATTTGACATATACCGCTAGTCCTGTGAAATTTCATTGAGGGTCTTTTGGAAGGGTCCTCGGATTTGATAATTTCTGATGATAAACTAACCACAACATTTAACCCAATTGAAAAAATATATACTGATTATTTCAGATGTGTGTTGAAACCGCTTCATGACTCCTCTTATATATTCATTATGTGATAAAATGTAAAGAGTTAGTGTTAACTCATCTTTGGAAGTCATCCTGGCGAAGCCATGAAGTTCATGATTTTGGTGTAGCTCTTCCAAAAAATCGATAAATGCGGACTGCCATACAAAACATATTGTTAAATCTTATTGGGTGTCTTACAAACAACTCTCCAACTCACTTATCATATATGTATGTTGATGTCATATATGGAAAACGAGCAATATATAAGTTATAATACTCATACATCAGGCAAAATGCAGCTGCAATTATTCTTATGCGTCTTTCTCTATTCATATTATTCATTGTTTATGTAGCTAATACATAAATATCATCGAATTAGCTAGAATCATAACATGAATTATTCAAAAGAAAAATAGAGAAACATTGAAAAGCATTTAAAAAGCGTCCAAGAAATAAAACTGAAACATATTACAAGTGACAAATACTATTGCCATGAAAAAACAAATCAAATATGTCTAACAAATAAAATGATATTCACGCATCTCGGTTGTTATGAAAATAATGTAAATAATTAACCCTGTGGTCAGAGGTCTGTCGGCCAACTTTTGATTTGAAAATAATTTTGTCAACTTAAATTTTCCATGAGAGGTATATATTTTTTTTGTTTTGAAAGTAGTGTGTTTTAATTTTTGAAAAAAGAGACTAAATAGATCTCATTCGTCCAACAGTTTATATAATCATGTCCGATACCACGAATATTACACCTTCCCAAAAGATAAGTTTATATCTCGGCGATAGACCCAATCATACAAACTAAAGGATTTGTGACATCTATTTGGTCAGCGAATCTTTTATATGTGACCGACAATTTCTCATATCTAATACAAAAATTAAATAAAATTTATTTTATTTGGGTTCCAAGTTCCCTATATAGACAAGACCCTATAGTTAATTACATCTCAAATGACTGGAGTCACTTGAGAAAACTCTCGATAATGATTAGGGGTACTAGTCTTAAAAAATTCAAGGTTTAGGTTTTCACGGTAGGACTTGAAAAAACAAATGGAAGTGACTCAAGTGGGAACAGTTATTTTCAGGAGTCCTAATAAAAAAAAAGGTAGGGGACATCACAGATCCTAAGGATAACACTCGGTGACTTCCCAAACTATCCTATTGTGTGGCTGCGTTTTGAAGATGGTGTTATTCGAGTGTTCCTGTCAATTCTATTATTATGGACTTACATTTGCATAATATACGATTATGCATATAGCGCGCAGAGATAGGAGGGTTTACGTCGTACCGGACGACAACCTCGGAACCTAAGGTGAGTTAGGACTTATGTTGCATAACATGGTTGCACATGAGTCTAAAGAGGGTGTGAGGATTTATGTCACGCTAGGCGAGTTACCTCGAAGTCTTATGGGTTGTTGTTATGTTAGGAAAAGAGAATGTTGAAGAAGATCCTTTTGTTGCTCGATCCAAGCTCCTTGTCGTGCTGCCCAGAAAGTTGACTCCAAGCTTCTTGCTGAAGTAGCAGTCCTATGGTCTAAGGTTCAAAAGATTTACCAGGTTTGTTTAAGTGATAAGTTTTGTTAATGTTCAAGTATTATGGGGGGTTAAAATTAATTATAGCGACACCGATTAGGATCTCACAGTTCCCTCGTTCTGCTACATTATTATTATTTTTTTACTTAGTCTAAAAGAGTTGTTAAGCTCATTTAAGCTGAGGATGTCTCGTTAGCAACCGTGGGTTACCTCATCCGAGGGACTGCCGTAAATTCAAAAGTACTTGTTATGTTTTTGTTTTATTTCGAGAATGTTTTGTTTCAAGAATGTTGTTTAATTTTTTTAAAATTATTTTATTTTGAAAATATTATTTAATTTTTAAAAATCATTTTATTTTGAAAATGAAATTGCAACCAAACGTGCATAATATATTAAAACAAAAGTAAATTACAGTGATAAAAAAGACCATAAATAAAATGTGCATACGTACCTGACGTATCTGCTGCTGCTGCGATGTCAGCATCATATGTGAAAATAAGTAAATATAATTGAGAATTTAATGAGCATATCAAATATGAGCTCAAGCATGTAAAGAACCGGTGCTCCCACAGCTCCAAGCAGCAGCTAGCAAGCCTAAGCAACAATCCTAAGGCCTCCTACAGCTCCAAACAACAACTAGCAAGCCTAAACAACGATCCTAAGGCCTTCGGGCAGCATCTAGGGACTCCCAACAGCAGCTTCTAAGGGCTAAACAGCACTTCCTAGTACCAAACAACAGTTTTAAGCTTCCCAATAGCATTTCCTAGCACCAAACAACAGCTA